ATTGATATTATATATAATTATATATCAAAGACAATAAGGATGAGACCATTTTATTGTTGATTTGGCTTGGGTTAATTTTATTGATACGTCCTTTCCGTGTGAATACCGCTTCATCGATTAATTTCTTTCCGTAAGAATTCAATGAGTCAATTAATACAGTTGTACAATACTATAAGATGCGGACGCGCATTAGACGTTTTAAGTATACGTATACTGTGACGTAACGGTGTATATGATGTAAACCCCAGCTCCCATTTACAATGTGCCTTGATAAAACTACAATTGCCTACAATTCGATATTATTATTATGACCATCGTCACGGTCGCTACTTTGACAAGGTCCAAGTACTGACGAAAGCAACATTGATAAGTATGTGTACAACAACCTAACCTAGGCAGTGAAGTCATCTGATCTCTGTAGAAGGAACTAATTTGTTTATTGGAGTCCTGGGATTCAAAAACGACATTAGCAATAGGTAAACAACTAAATTCTGATTTTCAATTCATATCTTGTCACGTTACTTTGGGTAAGTAACGTCACAAGTGCTATTGGGTCGTGCGGCAGCTCGAGCGTACGTTATCTTTACAAGAGCAGCTGAAATAATTTTTTTATGGACAGAAATAGATGAATCTGAAACATTGTCGTCGATCATCCTTTGCGAATGTTTAATTATAGACGCGGCAGTGCTTCTTTGCATATGATCAGCATCATTTTTTGGTGTGATTCTTACATATTTAGAGCAGATACTGGTATATATATTCAGCTTATTAGATAGGAGCGCAGTAACATTTTCGAGTGTTATTTATTTCTCATATATTAAAATATTGTATACGATGTGTTCTCGAGATACGACTAGGAAAACACGGCACTCGTCGTTAAACAGATGTTCCACTCTCTCTGTGGGGTCCCAGAGCTAAACAGACTGGTCCCTGCGAGAGAGCGAATCAAACCTAGTTTATTATGTAGCTATAACGGGGCTGAAGCGCCTCCTTGCGGAAGAATATCGTAGACTCAACAGAGGACGAGGCTAAATTCTCATTCTGTCGCCGTCAACGTGTTGGTAGATTAATTTTCAATGTCGCTGTCTACCTAGTTTGAACGAGTTCAAAAACTATGGGCACAGTTTAGTCGCTCGGCGCTCTAGAAAAGGTGTTTCTGGATATTTAACCCCTTTGCACAAAGTATAACAATGTGGTTATCTAACGCCGTTGTAGAATCTTCAGCAATTTCGGCTATATACTACTATATCAAAGACATTAAAACGCCAATTAAATTAATGGCAAATGGCAAAAGGATGCATTTGGCATGATGGAGTTTTTTTTAAGGCAATTCTCTAATTTCTCCTAAGACGAGTAAAATTTAATAGTTGATTGCTAGATAATTGATAACACGTGTAATTGCTCAGATATTTTCAGATGAGGTCATTATGTATTCAGAGGAGAACATGTTAGTATCTTCTGCAGTGTTTCTGCAATGCATTAGGGGCTAACTACCTTGTCGCGCAGTTTGTCTGCTGGCAAGCAATCGGCCAAGGCAAAGGCAGTGGAGATGCAGCGGAAGAACGGAACCTAACGGACGCGTTTGAACGTGATTGATGTATGTGATCGGACAATTTCAATACTTATTTCTAGCAGCAGGAACAGCTGCTTCTAGTCCGAACAATTAGGGCAGCGACAGTGATTGCTGGTTATCGACGGACGTTCGGGAGAAGAGGCGCGCATTGCATTGGGACGTAAGCCCAAGTAGTCGTCGTCATTGCAGTCGTGCAACGGTACCGATGCCTTTGCACTTTCATTCATCATCGTAGCACGTACGTGGCGCATTCTCTTCGTGAAGCCTTTATGGCCCGTATCTGGCGACCTTATATAGTATATGGCTGTCTGTTCCCCGTACGGCACAGATCTGTTTTCTCTCGTCAGTCATGCCTTCTTCTGTCGACATTAGTTTTTCGCGGTTAAGACCTCCCTTCTACCCAGAACCACAAATAGGTAACGGCGTCAGATCGTAGTGATAGTTAATGCTGAACGACGGATGCCCAGCTGCGAAACGGTTTCGGCGGAAAGGGCTTTGCAGAGAGAAGAGATTAGATAATAGGAAAAGCAAATGGCCACATACCGTACAGTTGCTCGATCCAGACCCTAACAAGTTAAGGAAAAAAAATGTCAGAAACGTACTCGATGTTAGATGGCAATGCGGAGGAGCGGGGACCGTTGAAGGAACTTATGACAGTCGGGAGGCGTCGCAAAACGCGCGACTGTTAGCATACTGATTTACGAAGCCAGCAGCTGCACGGGGTGCACACGGGTGCTGCGTGAACGCAATATGGCTGGTAGCGATTACCGAGTTTTAATAAAATAAGCAATATCAACTAGCTACTATATAGTTGGGACGTGGCTGAAGCAACAAATTCCAGCCCAGTCGCCGGCGCATTCTCAGTGTCCGATCAGCGGCATCATTGCCTATGATATATAGTATTTGCTGCGATGTAACATTCCCATTTATTGATGAGCTTTCTTATTTTTAAAACGATTGGCGGGTTGTTCCACGTGAGGTAGAGTGGAATAATTGTATAAGGTTGAACGAAGTAAGCTCATAGCTAATATGGAACAAATTACCAGGGCCACTCAGGGTTGTTATTGCCGAACTCGAAAGGTCAGTTTTAGCAATGGTGTTTTTTGCCTCCCGACATTTTTTATCAGTGGAGCCCATCGTTGGAGAAAAATAGGTGATCTCGATAAAGTGACGATAGCAGCCCTTTGGATAAAAAAAAAAAAAATTCTACGTTGTATAGTACTTAACCATCGGCAAATGTAAATTCACAATAGAGAAGTAAATAACGAACAGTGTACATAACTTATGCACGAACCTATGTAAAGTATAGCATATCTTGCGTGTGCGTCAGTTCAGTATGTTGGTGCTCTGATCCGGCTGCTGCTGGCATTGTTGCGCTTTTCTTTGCCGCTATCCGTTGTGTAATGCGGCTTGCGAAAAGACAATGACGATTCCATTTTCATTGTCGGTGCTTTGGTTGTTTTACGTTTTCGTACTTAACGATCGGTGTCTATTGCGGTTGTACTCGCTGGCCTACGCGTTGTTCGTCCGATCCAGACTGCGTACTTGCGATCCGGAGCTGGCTTGTCACTCGTCACAACAACGTTGATTAACGTTGCTCCTGACTGACTCCTCGCCACCCAGTCACTTTCTGCTGCCGTCGATTTCTTCATTTTGCTTTTATCTTCTTCCCGCTCTATATTAACTACAACATAGTCTTTTCCTCCGGTGGGTCGGGTTTGGCCAAAGCCCCAGCCAGCCCGAAACACTCACCGATGTTCAGATTCGAATGGAGTTGACTCTGGAAAGTAGAAAACTGTGCGGAACGGCAACCGTAAAGTCCTGGAGCTATGCAGAAACATCTGAATCAGGAGGAAAGACAAGCAACGAGGTAATGGATCCATTAACGGCCGGCTCGTTGCTCGGCTATTCATGTGTGTGTATAGATATATATGTATATATGGAACTTGCAGCTCCTCCTAGCTTTGCTGGTGGAGTCTTGCTCCTTTCAGCTGTAGCAATACCGCTTGATGCAGAAGCAGTCACAGCTTTTTTGCTTAGTAGTCACTTTTTTACCTTCTGCTATATTGTTTCCTGCTGTCTATCTGTTTTGTGGTGGTCAGAGGCAGCGGCACTAGTGAAGGTGGTTTCAGTAACAGCGGCTGTGGTGTAAACATGAGTCGTATTAGTGGCCTATATCAACGAGGAATTGTAGGAGCGGTATTTCGGTAGGTGATGGTACAAATGTTGATGACGAGACTTCTGCAATAGTTAGAGAACAAACGGTGACACCAGCGCGCAGCGCGCTCGGACCACAGCAAGAACCTAGAAAGCCGATTCATAGGGCAACTACGCCCGCTGTTGTTGGCTCTTCTGCCGCCGCCACCGCTGGTGTTGTTAATCGCGTTGTCGCCAGCGTCGTTGTGACTGTTCTCCGATGGTTTCTGACTCTATCCCTGTTGCCGTTGGGTCAGTCCATTCATTCACTCTTTCACACATTCACAATCAGTCATGTGTCATGGCATCTGGTAACGTTGGTCGCGCGCACTGCGTTTGCCTTTTGTGCAGAAACGGTTACTGTATCTCTCCTTCGTTTGTATTATTAAGCCACTGTGTGTATTCCTGTCTTTCAGTATGTCTGTATGGCTGGGTAGTTGACTTCGTACTCCCTCCGTTGACTCGTAGCTAGGTGCGAAAGAGCTTTCGTTTCGGTCACCATTAATTCTCTGTGGCTTTGTTGTCGTTCGCCCGCCTGATCTTTTTGGTACACCGTCAGCATTCTCCGTCCGTGCATTGTTTTGCTGTAACGCTCTGTCATTTGGTCATTATAATTTCCTATACCACGGTCTACGATAACGCTACACGTAGTTGAATGGCAATAAGAGTGGTCCGACTTCTGCACACTTCCGTAATTTGTTCTTATTATTCGATAAAAGCTAGCCGACATTTCGTTGATCAGTGCAGAATTGTCACCTGTTAAAGTGCCCAGTAAACCATAAACAAACGAAGAACTTTTACAGATGTAAAGACTAGCTTTAGGGTTAACATTAGGGCTTTAGGGTTTTGATTTGACTTCAAAGTATAGAAATTTGGGATATATTTGATATATTTAATTGTATCAATGGTGTAAGCTCATATGGATTACTTTGCAATCATTCCCTGAACATATCCTAAATTCATCGAGAATTACAATTGAAACTATTTTGCGGTTATGTCTATGGAACTTTTTACCTAAGCGCAACGTACTTCGTTTGCATGAACAGGGTACACTGTTTCTTATTTACTACGTTAATTACTAATTGCATTTTTTTTATCAGAGCATCAACTTGGCTAAGGAAAGCTCTCGTGCTTTCGCGTATCCGCACGCTGTTCGCAGATTTTATTTAGGGCTCCATTATTAACACTTTATATGGGCCACTGTTTAATACCTTCTTTGGGTGCTTTCCAGTGTCACCAAGGAAACTGAAGAGGAAAATTCGCGTATGAAGTCACTGTGCCATTCAAAATCCTTCGGTCGAAGGTGGTGTTTAGAAAAACTGTCAGTGTTCATGTAATTACCCTGACCTCTGCCGCACCACTCATTTCATTCTGAAAAATTTGTTCGGTGAATGTGAGAAATAACTTGTCGTCGGCAGTATGTGCCCATGGAGTGTTACGTAAAAATGTAACCAGGTGACATCTCAAAGAGGGACACAATATAGAACTGTTCGAGGTTAGCAGCGTACATTTGGCTATAGCGTTTTGCTGTTTGCTTACGGACGCAAATGCCTAGAACTTATCTCTGAAAGCTTTCCTCAAAAATTGGTTGTAAGAATCAGGATAATTATACAGCAAGGTAGAAACGCACGGCTTATTTAAAGAACTGCAGTTCTGGTAACGTTTAAATTCTTAGAAAAAAAAAAAGTAACACTAAAAAAAAGTGTTACAATGCGCAAAATACTATAATTATCGTTTCAAAATAATATCGCCATAGTTATTAGTAACACATTAGTTCAGACAAAGTATTTACATCTTTGTTCTTAAATAATATAGTTTGAATCTTAGTTACAGGTTTGAGTTGTGATAGAACCTCACGAATGAGAGGATTCTACATTGACGGTAAGTGGCAAGCGAGAATATGTCACTGGAGCCTTGCTAGCGCAACAGTTAAAGCGGCTGATAGCGGCAATAGGTAACGAAAAGCCTCTGACGAAATGACATGTTTAGGTTGACATGGATAGGACGAGACGTAGACTGTACATTCTGTCAAAGAGAACAGTCTGTCTGTGGCAAAGGGATCATCCACAGAGACTTTGCGGATCTTGCCAAACATTGCCCTCGGAGCGTCTGTACGATTTGAGCCCAACGGTATTTTCTCATAAAGAAATTCCATAACACAGCACAGATAGTAACAATATCTTATAAATAATAAGAAGGCCTTTACGTCAACCCTGCAGAATCCCGTCGAAGCTGCAACAATAGCAGAACACTTCAGCGCTCTAGCCGTTAAGCGGCCTGTTATTTCAACGTTGGTAGCGAAAAATGCATGCCAGTACAATCAATTGAGACCTAAAACGACCGAAAAAATAATCAATTAGGAATATTGGGCGGCAGCTAACAGCTCAAGTACGTTCCCTTTTATTCTTAAATGGAAGAACACCTTTGGCATATTTCAGTCCAGTCCTTTCCAGTAGGAAAAAAGCCAATGTCAATGGATGAGTTGATAATACTGGCAAGAAGGGGCGCTCTTCAGTATTCCGCTTGTCCGGGGCATCAGCGTACTTCAAGAACCATTTCGAGCGAACTAACATAATTTAGCTCCAACGACGTTAATCTGCCCAATCGATGGTTTCTCCATCCGAGCGTCGGCTTGAATATCACAGGAAATGACAGTAGCTCAGTTAACGGTTGCGAAGTGTCCTTTAAGCTTATCATCTGGATTCTGGAGGTCCAGAGTCGAGGTCGAGCACGCATGGGAGAACCACTCTGGATTCTTCTCTAACACAAGATTCATAGCCCGGAGGTACATCGTAAATCGGCGCTTGTAAAACGTATTCCTAGCAAGCCGCACATCCATTCTCTATCTCTGGAGACGACTGTAATAAGTTGTCGTAGATTGCAGCGTGCGCACCCGATAACGCCCTCTGTACGACTATTTGATATTGTGCCTAACCGCCGTAACTCAGCTGAGAATTTAAATATGCTACAAGCTGCACCCTCTACTTCAACCATATAAAAATATAACAATGTTAATCGCAGATTACTTCAAAAGTCAAGTCAGCGTCATGTTTGATTGGGATGGTTTTCTTATTTTTCGTCTGCTTTTAAGCTGTCAAATATTGCTTCAGAAGGCTGGCTTTTAGGACGATACGAAGTATGTTTGCTTATACAGATTACCATGTATTCCTAAGTTGAGCAGCTAGCCCTATTTACTGCGTTATCACATGGACGCGGTCACCGGGATATCGAGAATTTCGCGTAGATCCATAACCTTCTTTGTATGCTCAAATGTGCACGTCCATACATTAATCACACTGAATCTGGCTTCTAGCCTTGTATAAGGCTTTATTGTAAAGATCTTACCTTGTAGGGGCGAAAAGTTTACCTAAAAACGTTTACTTGACGATGTTGTTTTATCTCTTTTACCAGGTGAAGTAGTTAAGGTGGTCACTTTGCACTTTTAACGGTCTTTTCACGAAATTCGAACTCATTAATTATTTAATTTTTTCGCTATGTCCTCACAGGACATGTGATCATTCGTCACTAGAATTGAAGCTTGCTGTTCGATCACCATTTTCGCTAGTTTCTTCGCTCGGATTCTCTTGAACGTTACATAATTCCATTGGCATTAATTCGCCGATTGTGCCATCATTTCCTTTTTCTTCACTGGCTTTTGTAAGAATCCTAGTTACTAGTATAGCATTGCTACAAGTAGTTATCTTGAGACGCCGTCGCCCCCGTGGGTACTGACTCACGTCTGATATGGAACAACGAGTGAAGAGCGCGTGATCCAGATCAGCTGAAAAAGCAGCCGTTTATGGCGCAGTGAAACCTTGAGCGGGAAAGAAGTTTCAAAACTAGTTAGGCAAGCTACTAAATTAAACGATAGTGTGATGACGCTGTTATGTCGTGCAGACATGTGTGTCAGGCAAAACCAAGCGCACACAATTTCCAACTTCAAAACGTATATATATAAAACTTATATATATAAGTTTTATATATATACACCTTATATATATAAGGTGTATATATACAGCACTTCGAGAGCAGTTAGATGCGCCGATATATCAGAACTGACTACACGGGCAACGATGGCTAAATTCAGCCCTAGGACTTGATAATAAACCACAATTTTTACTGAAATAGGAAACTCACGATCACCACGTTTGAGGCTTTAAATAAGAAAAATTGTTATGTTAAAATATTGTCAAAATAAGCGTGTGTTATCGAAGTGACAGCAGGTGAAATGTGCTTCCTAGCTTGAACATCATTGCTATAGTTACTGAAGTCTTTATACAATCTTACTGGCATTGTGTTTTCGTGCTACACTTGCGTGCTCTTATAGTTTCCATAGTTTTATGAATAATTCTTTTTTTCTTTTTATAAGGGAGTTAAGAACGAATGCATTATGTAGACCAAACTTCACGGTCAAGATATTTACCTGACCCTGTAGAACTCTTACCCACTAAACCGTGGTTTACCACTTGGTAATTTTGAGCCTTGGTTCGGATATTGCTTCGAGACCTTGCTTCGGTTAATGTAATTCTAGTTAGCCACGTTTCGATTCATCCTCTTGTGAGGTTTCCTTCCACGTTAGACGAGCTGAATCGCAAGCGGACTCTATCCCCTACTCTTTCACTGGACCCCAACTCTGCAAGAGCGCGATGCTTTCGTCTACCTCGCTCCTGTACTTCGGCCTCGCTATCGAGCGTTCTTTTCCTGCATCATTCGCTCTACAAAACACTCGTTCTCGCGCTTTTTAAGCTTTAACGATAAAGTATCAGACATCGCTTAAAACAATCTACCTGTTTAAAGGTCCCATACAATGCTGTTACAGTGAACACCACTGCCACTATTCGTTAACCATTCTTATTATGTTCTATGGTATCGACTGACTTATTACGGTCGATTCCCTAAGATATTCGCACTCTCCTTAGGCGTCGTCTGCCTGCCATAAACTTAAAAAACGGATTGAATCTCGACAGTCAATGTATAAATCTTTACGATGGCCGAGTAGTAACGTATCTGCATACAATACTAAATTTAAGAAGATTTAAGTACCGGGTTCGAATGCTGGAATAGATACGTTTGTGTTGTGTTGAGCTAAGTGACTAATATAATTTCAGTCATTAAACTTAAAGCTTTCGGACTTCAGCGTCAGTAGATTCTAGACATGCTTCGTAGAGTTTTTCCGGACTCACCCGTCGTTATCCAAAATTTATACGTCTTGAGAAAAGAGCAATTATTATCGCGATCCTATACGCAGTGAGCACTACCTGTAGCATATGTACAGCGGTGAATTTAAATTCGGCCTTAACAGATCCCTGTCTGTATTACAAGCGTGTCATCTATTTCACGTATTGGGCGAGTGTCTATGCCTCACTCTCACTAGACGTGACTATTCGACCACGCCCTTCGTCTCTTTATCTCGCTCCGTTTCCAAATCTTATTTCATAATTTATAACATAATAAAAAAAAGCCTCTTACATTCGACTATGGATATTCTCTCACTAAAAGAGATCTCAGAATTAAATGGTCGGAAGCTTTCGTATTATTTTTGCGTAGTATAATAGATTTTAAGCACACGTCTGTGCGTATAGCTAGTCAAAGGACCAGCTTTGATATGAGAAACTTGTTAAAGGGCTCGCGACCCTCTCTCTCTCTCTCTCTCTCTCTCTCTCTCTCTCTCTCAAACACGTAACTAAAGCATCGTAAAATCCGTCGTTGTCAATCGAATTCATTACAGAGACCTTTTCAGTACAGTCAATTTTACCTACATAATTGAAATATTTTTGTATTATTTTTGGGCTTAATAATTCGAACGAAAGATTTTTACCTTCGCCACGACGCGGCAGCAAATCTTGTCCGTAAACGGTTCCAACCGGGACTAAATAACTATATATCTGCTTAGAAAAATTAAATCACCCAAAAATTATAATTGTTAATCGAATGATAATCTTATTGTTACTGTATAAGGTAATAATCCTGGAAAATTACCACCGGATAAGTAAAAAATTAGTACTATTAAATAAAATAATTAAAGATGTATATATATTAGAACATTTTACCATAATTTTTTTTATTAATACACGTATTACTTTAGAATATAATTCATGACCTTATTTTTCAAAATAACGAAAAAGTTAACTCTTCTATGGCGGACCTCTAAGTAATTTCTTTTTAAACGTTAAAACGTTCAAAAAAGTAAAAAAAAATATAGCTAATCTTTTCCAGTTAAAAACCATCATGCAAGTAATCGTCAAGTATCACCCACGTATATCTCGTGCTGCATTGATCTAAAGTTACTCGAAATGTATTTGATTATTACCGTATATACAAGTACCCAAAAAATGTCATTTGACGAATCAAAACATTTGAATAATATTTACACCATGTAAGGGGCAACACTTTGTGGTAGTGTATGCTAGATGTACTCCATTTTACCGCGTTAAAGGTAGCGTTTCAATTACATCTATCGCTCTACCGCAAGTGAGTTGAGGCGTTCTAGATTAAGAAGCCATGTTTTGCTTTTATTGGTCATCTTTAAAGTTTTCGTTACAGTTGCACGTGCTTTAAAAATTGTACATTTAGCTGATAGGGAGCGTACGGAAACAATACTCTATTTACTTTCGTGATCACAGAGACTCGTTATTCGGTTTAAGGTAATGGGCCTGGGTTTAAGGACCTTCTGTGTGATTTTCAACCCTTTTTTAACGTTTCTAAACATTCTTAAAAGACCACATCAGTAGCAAGAGGGCACGTGACCTGGTTTTTAGCTATCTAATTAAAGAGCGCTAAAATAAAAGATTAAAATTTTCTTATTGTCAATAAGGATGAATTCAATAACGGAGTATAATTTTTTAACACCAACCGATTTGATTCACGATCCTTTAGTGATACCAAATCAGCTCATGATCAGCTAAGTACTCAATGTAAGTAATGTTTCTATTATATTTTGTCTGTCGAAAACGCGTAGTTTGGAACTTATTCAAAATTTCATGTTTGCTAAATAGCCCCGGACAAGCTATTTATTCGTATTGGCAATAAGCTGCGTAGATGATCTAAATTAGCAAGCTAAATCTCAAGTTATGGTAACTTACACTTCGGTATATAATATTGCTCTTATATTTGGTTGCTGAAACATGTCGCTTAACTCCGCTTCGGTCTGTATTGGCCAGCTTTTAATTTTTGTGAAAATTCAATTTCAAATTTAATAAATACGATTCAATTATAGTCTTACAAGACATTTCGAGTTGCTCTAGATAGCTGGAATCTGTGTGGCAAACAAAGTGCGACAAAAAAGCCGCCTTTTTAGCGTTCAATGAATACAGTGGGCGTATGTAACTACTTCTAGCCGAGGCTGTGTTATCGTTCCAAGTATATTGCTAGATGCCAATAACTTGAAAATTGCAAGCTGTTGGCTGTGTGGAGTCGCAGTCTTTGATCATCGGCTGATATGTACGTACGTAAAGAATGAAGTTTGTGCGCGCATGTGCTTCATTCGGATGAAGAAGTATGCATGTTTATATGGACAATTAGCGGCAGACAGCGGTCACCGCATCAACAAGCAGACGATACGCCCGATTGTAAAGACATTACGCATAACAAAGAACTTATCTTTTCAGGTCATTTCTCGAAAATGGTAATTTTGAAAAGTTCGTATTCAGCACTGTTACAGTATTTTTTTTTTCTAGCTAATGTTTAAAGCAGAAACGCTAGTGACGTTAAGACATTCGGAGAAAATAGACGACATATAGCAGGTTTTGTAGATATAGTCGTACAATGCATACAGTTTTGGCAAGCCAAAGATAGAAATGCTTCTAGCCAGTAGTTTAGCTAGGTATAAACATTTGCCGAATTTGAAGCTGACTCTTGTCGTTGTTTCATGTCGACTTGCTGCGACTTACGGAGAAGCGGGCTATCTGTTTTAACTCACGCGACATCTTTGCGAATGAGATGTTGTGTGTTCTGCTTGTTGGTCGTCTATCTTCGTATACCGCGGATGATTCTAGATACTCACGATACATCATCATACGATTGTATTAGAAGGCCACGACAAATTTCGAAGTAAAATCATCCCCTGTATGACCGCCTATTACATTAAAGATTATTACTATTTACGTGCCTATATGTATATTGGCCTCGTAACCTTCAAATTTCGGTTTTATTTCTTTTTCTTTGTGTCGTTGCAGGCCTACAAGGCGCTAGTGCACTACAAATGGCTTCTTGGGCAGCGATTCACGATCCATACGATTGGCGGCCTTTCAACGAAAACGCCAGCAACGAAGATAACATTGATGATTTAGTATTGGTATCTACTGAGGCAGTCGTGGGAAGCGCTATTGCTATTACCGTTACCGGTGCCACAGTATCGTGAATTAAACAAAAAAAAAAACTGCAGCACGAGTTACCGCGTACCAGTGCCATGCTCCTGGTAGCGCCAACAGTCGCTAACTCCGCATGGCAAAATGCCACGAAGATAATAATGATCATTATCACCGAAGGCTGTAGTCTCACGAGAAACGATCGCAACGACTATTACTGCAAGATTGTCTGCTGCACCTGCTGCGTGCCTGCAGTGCCTACGGTGTCGGTGGCCGTACCGGTGCAAGGAAAAAGCGAATATATACCAACAGCACAGCGGTAGAGACTGCGAAGACTAAACTCTTCATTAGCAGCGCTTATTTGAACAACGTCTTTATGCTAGGCCCATAGCGATCATGCGTTTGGGCTAAACAGCCAAGGAAAACCGGCTGAGAAGTTACGCAAGATCTCGATCGTCTATCCCTCGGTCTCAAAGCGGCTCAAGGCTGTATGATATATTTCTACTCAACTGGCCTACTTGGTAGTTTCCCGAGTGATTAGTCTTCATTGTACGTGCCGCATTTTCATGGTAGGCCGAATTGTGGTGGACGATGCAGCCGTTGCTGTCTGTCTGCCTTCTTGACCATCTAGTAAAATAGAAGGTAGCCCATATAGGTCAATAGTCCTACTGTGATTGGTGATTGAATGTGAGGCATTGTCAGTGGGGACTTCTAACGACGATAAACCAAACGGCAGGCGTTGGCACCTCGGCAGGGTCTGGCGGAACCAGCCCTGGGGGAAGCCAACCATACTCTGCTCGAATGGCGCATAGGGAAAGGGTTCATTCGGTGGATGCGCTGCTTGACGAGACTGCCGCCGTGACACAAAAGGGGGGAGCTGGTAACGGACAGCTCCACCATAGGCAGTCAACACCTTCGACGCAGGTTGGAGGTGGTGGGCAGCTGCCAGCACAGCACTCGCCCCGTACTTCATCGTCGTCGACGCATCGACATAACAACCTACAACATGTAAAGAGTTTGGACGTTTTTTTTATTACGCGTTGCTCATGTAGTCGGTAAACATTTTCTACGCATATTAGTTTCTAGACTGCGACTTCAGCTTCGATTAAAATAGGTGGCAATGGCAGTTGATGTAACGCCAGCTGGGATTGACAGTAGTTCGTTCGAAAATTAAAATTCATCGCAAGTCTGTCTCCAAGATAAGCGTTATTGTTTTGGGCAATTCTCGGCTTTCTACCGGGCAAAAATACCAGGTCCGAGTCCAATCATGTTTACTATTTGACCGCAAAGGTTCTCTCACTGCCTTAAAAAGCTCTTGTCGCTTCTAAACTTCAGAAAGCAAAAATGACACGGTGCAAGCCGTAGTCGTATCACGTGAACAGCTTGAACTGACCTTTTAACCAAGTTTAATTAACATTATCGAATAGCTGAAAAGTTTCGTTTTATCAGAACGTTCTTATCTGTCACGTACACGTACAGATTTGATAAACGATACACGGAGTGGAAATTATCAGATACTTTAGTTAAAAATATGCAAGTAGGTACAAGTAGGTAAAAGTTAAAAGTCATTAGTTAAATTACTTATATATATGATTTCACGCATATGATTATGTCTGTTAGACCAGTAACTATGTGATAATTACTTTGAATTGCTGAGCTGTATAGGGATACCTTGTTAACAACACGTGATCGCATCTGCTAAAATAAGACAAATCTATTTTGGGAGAAAACTTCGTGGCTAGCTAAATATTATCTAGCCTATAGGGAATAGTATTTATATCTTCTTGAAAACAGCAGAGGCACGAGTTCTCGAGACTTTGCCAGAGCGAAAAAAGAAGGCGTTCAGAAAATACTGGAGTTGTGCGCCGTAATTCTCGCCACATACATCAAACATACGCATTTTATCGAAACGTTGTTGAGGGACAAATTCTGGTCATCAGTGCACTGCATTGGGGAACTTACATAGGGGTCTCTTAAAAAGGTTAAATAAGTGTGGTTGTTATTTAATATTGTGGCATTGACTATTTAATCGCTCGAAATGATCACCGTCACTACTTACGTATAGTCTGCTCGTAACATTTCCATTGGTCTACCATAAAATTTATGCTGTAGCCTTTTATCTCGTAGAGGAATGTCAGCCTCTGCGCCGCAATCCTGTCTGTTCAGCAACAGAGTCTAACGGTCTTATGCTTGTACAGCCGCGTTGACTCTGGTTCGACATCCACACACAGTGCTACGGATGCTGTCATGGACTCTGGACGACCTCTAATGCATTAGAACAAGCCTTTCTCTCCCTCTCTCTCTCTCTCACTCTCATCATAGGTGGCGCCAGATTAAATGCACTATGAAGTGGTTTTTATGTAGCGTATTGAACCTATACTATTCCTGTCGGACTAGTATTCCGGACGGGTCTAGCATCCTGTTAATGGCCGTGAGAGTTGACTTATTCCTACGAAGGCCATATTGTGCGCCTGAAAAGTCTATTAGCCTCTACTTAGCTGCTCGAGCTTATTATTGATAAAGTGCCTCATGATTTAGCCAGCCATGATAAAGAAGACAACGCCTCTACATAATTTTATTCATTTTATCCAAGCTTACCTAAGGCAGTTAGTCGAAACAAAAAATGTATCTACGCCTTAACGATTAGCGATCGTAGACTCGCCTAGAGCCGAGTCTTTCTAGAAAAGGTGCATTTATTTTAAAATGGTACGACATATAAGCGTCATTTTACAGGTATTTTCGTATCTTAAAAACAAGAATTTCAGAATGAGAGTGAATCTTTGACCCTCGCCTAACAAGGCGGGCTCTTTAGGATCTTTGTCGTCGTCGTCGTCGTCATCGGACCCTCACATGAGAAACTAGCAACGATTGTTTGTTTTTATGCAACACAGTAAATGACCCATGAAGCTTTTTAAAATATATCAGAGGAAGCTCGCAAAGCGAAAGCAGATCAATAACTGTAATAACATATATATATCTATTACTGTAAATGGCTAAAAACTATCTGCATTAGTTAAGATATCCTAGTAATGACTGTTGAAGGTCGTAGATTCCTTTATAAAAATAGTAATAGTAACTGTTCTTATGTTGCAGTCATATATAAATGTGATATATTTGTCGTTGAAGCAGTTACACAATAATGCTTTTTTAATCAGAATATAAATAGACAACACACATCATAAACAGAGGATGACGGAGGGATCAAATCTAGCGTACGAAGTCTCGGGTAGATTTTTTAGTTAGTTATTATATTAGTGATACTTTTTAATAGTTTCTTTGTGAGAAATTGATTCGCGTCTTGAAAAAACTTATCTTCCTAATGTATCCAAGTGAAGAACCATGACATGCATCATCTCGTTGAATTGATTTGCATCGAGCACATAAGCACAGCTATAGAGATTTTTCCGCCTAATTTAATTTCACTCATGTGGTTGGGGGGGTTCTTGAGCTTCTTCGCAGAGAAATAGCTTAGTGATTGCGTGTACCAATTTTTCCCAAGTACATATTTCATATGGTAAATACATTTTTTCCCGATTTATTTCAATCGGTCAGGTTTAAGTTTCAATTCAATGAATGAAGTAAGTTCATATGTATAATAGATTTAAGGTAGGTCAATATTGCCTACAGCTTGTCTGCTGGTGCCCTCGTAATGACAGTTATTCTGCCTGGAGATAATATAATGGAACCGTTCTCAAATGCGATTGATGCCAGTGGGCTAGATTCACGGGATGGCGGGCAGGCTGTTGCAGGAAAAGAAGATCACCGTTTGATGGCCGTGTTTACGGTCTCCAACAACACTGCTGAAATATTACAGTTAAAGAGACGATTTCACGTTTCTAGTTAATTCTCCGACACCAAAAAAAAAACAAAAGACGAAAATTGGTTTCTATTCCCTTAGTTTGTGCAAGCCGACTTACGGGTCTAATATGAATACGTGTCTATTCGCGGTAAATTCGAGTAGACAAGTTAAAGGACCAGATATAGTTTCATGTTTATATTTTCGATTACTTGCGAGACACTCTTGTACCAAACGGTCGTATCGTGAAGTACTAAATTGAGTGTTGTTGTTACCCCGAAAACTATGTGATCTGCTGGCACGGTCCCATCCGTTTTACTCGTATAGACTTTTAAGAGACCACTATTACTAATTTAACCACTGGTACAGATCACGATCTACAGATCATTTCCACATATATATATATATAGGCTTATGAACGTTGCAAAATTAGCTCTGATTATTATTTTAATAGAAATACATGTCACCAATCTTGCAATCATTTGCTAAATAAGAGTCAAATAGAAAAAAAATTTATTTGTATCTAAGAGGTGAAATTATTATTGGCTAATGTTTAAATTAACGATTGAAATATCTCAGATTTTTCATATGTATACAGGATCTTGTTATGAAAAGTTCCACCTGTTCACTAACCTACGATTATTCAGATGCCCTTAGTCCTAATTTTTTTTTTAGATAATTGCAATTTTTACTTCGAAATATCGTAGTGATACCTTGGTGCTTTGGCGCATGCGTTAGACTTTTGTTTGAACTAGCTCAACGATGACCTTTCAGGATGTCTTTTAACATTATCTTAGGACAGATTTATTTCTGCAATGACTTGGACGTTTTGTGATTGCAGTACTCAATGGAGTATCCGCCAGGCAGCGGAACTGGCGTGGGTGGATCGCTAGGATCAGGAGGAGTTTCAGTCGGATCTGCGGGCCACCCGTTATTGCTTAAATCGAATCGTTCATCCCGTTCATCAGACACCTCATCGGCATATTCAGGATCAGACACAATGCATTCGATTCAGAGTTCTCTCGATGATCCAGAGTTCGGAGTGGGCTCAGGTTCAACAGGGATTCCTCCGGAAAGCACAGCTGATTCAGATGATGATGAAGATCTAGACGCACAGCATATGGAGGTAAGAGTCTTGTGCCCCATTTTACCCATCAGTTAATCACTTCAGCTGACCATCAACTGCACACGCCTTTCTCATGCTACGTTCGTTTATCGCTTTTTATTATTGGCATGCAAAATGTAAAGGTATGAGTTGCATCACTTACCCATAGGTCCTTGTTTATATATTGAGTATTATTATTATCGTCGTCACAGTAAGGCTCCTGTTTAACAAACGATAATGAAATAGGTTAGTGAACGTCTGATGTGAGAAAGGTTACTCCTATACTTCAGAGTGGAGATCTTCTATAACGGTGCGACACTTCACAACACTATTTTATTTGCAAAACTCCCCTATACTCTTTTATATCTGGGACTGATTAGCGAGATATTTAGCACGCGCATTGCAATCGACCATGAAAAACCAGAAAATTCGACTGGTTTGCAAATATGAGTCCAGCCTTGGAACACAGCAGCGCAAAGAGCTTGTGGTATAAACCTTGTATTCGATGAAGGGCCTATTGGAAGCAATGCGAGCCGTTAGTTCTGCAAAAGAAACCCGATAATACGTTTGCAAAAAGATCCTATGTAGAAACGTGTAATGAAGCGTTGAAGCTGATGGCTCTGGTATATCTGATAGTACCATATTTATGGACCTGGGGTGAGTTAGCAGAGAAAAATAATTGGATAAATGAGTGTCGCATGATTTGAGCGGGAGTCAAAAGCGGACAAGTAAAAAAAGTATGCTTTCTTGTTTCTATTGCATCACAACAGAAACCTGTTGTTGCATTGAATAGCGACATATTGATTTTCGACGATAATCGTATGGTTTACGCCGGTGGGCAGATGTGAGGTATCATCCTGAAAAAATGTACGGCTGCAACAGGCCATGTATTTCGCTTTGTAGTCTTTTCTTTGCGACTGCGGCTGAATTTAGATAATCGGGGAAAAGGGTTACATGGGGTACGTAACATTATTGAACCAAAATGGTAGAAATGGAAGATTTATAGACTCAGCATACTCGCCACACATTACACTCGTAGGTTACCGCTGTTATTTGTTAATAGGAAACTTATTCAAATCTCAGTGTAATGTCAGAATTGCTTATCGAGATTTCAGGGTCTCTCACAGCCCAGAGGGCCGAAGATCGTAGACTAACGACTAAAAATAATTTTGCCTGTGAAAAAGTTCAAAAAAGATTGATCTCGCATATATATATATATATATATATATATGATGAATGATTGTTCTATTTTAACCGAATCCTAAGTATCAGCGTCCTTGTAATAAAAATCTTTATATTATACTAACCATCAGTTCTGTTGTCAGCTTGCAGTTTGTAGGTGTTGAATCAGCTACGAGTACATGAATAGCATCATTGACGTGTGTAATTAAATAAACATGGTACAATGTTATTCGAAAAACGGACTTGATTACATGTAAATTATTTTATAGCAAGCTATTCAATGGTCAGTTAAAGCGGTCTATGCAAACAGAGCTGTTTGAACAAAGATCGTCGCATTAATCCCTAACACAACATGTTTTGGACACATGTTTGTGTCCGTTCGTATAAGAGTAAACACTTACTTTCTGCGTACGTGACCGCAGGGTTCGTTCAGTTTATGTGGCACATTTCGGCAACGGCTATTGCTGGCACAAACCATTCATATGAACACACGCAAAATCAGACCAAAATTGCTAACAATACAAGGCCCCAAAACGGCCAAAAACCCAAAATAGATTACTGAGGCTTATCTGCACGACCTCATTGGCAACAGATATTCCCCTCTCGAAAACGGCGCTTAATTATTGTATCCACAAAAAAAAACAGGTGTTTGAAAAGTGTCTCGATGAATTTTCAGGTCCTCTACATTTAGACGTCATAGAGAATCTTTCGGTTTACCTTACGCAAAGCTATTTCGGATTCTTCGAACATCGCATCAAAACTAACGATAACGCACACTGTCAATTTTGGACAAACAATAATTTTTGAAAGTATGCCTTGCGTAAAAACATTCAGAAAACGATGTGCTGTTTTTTCACACCTAGAAAAAAGAACAAGTTTTTTTTAGTGCCAAGGACAACGAATGAGCGCATTTCCGTTAGGACAAAGAGCCAGCCAAGTTGGTCCGAATTTAAATGCCCCACCCTGCATTTATTTATCCCAATTTAAATTTAACTGAATCGCTTGTATTTCCGCACATTCACATGAAAAGGGCAAAATTTTTAGGATCTTGAGATTGAATGAGACTGTATATTAACATTCTGCGAAACCTATCAATGGGCCTGCACTGGGCTCTGTGTAGAACAGTAAAATCAAGCGTACAGACACCCTGCGAATGGCTACGGAAATCAATAACACGTGGTTCAAGCGTTTGGACGACGGATTTTTTTTGAAGACAATACTTAATAACATATGACAGCGATTACGGACGAGAACGTAGAACGAACAAAACACGTCGAGCTTGTCAAGTGCCATGTCATAAAAGGACTCGATTGGCTCATGTCAGGCCATTATGACCGACCGTTTAAGCGTATGTGTTGAAACACCGAAATGTCCAGCAGATGAACATCCATGGACAGAAAAACTATTTGGCACTTCTAAAAGAGTCAGACTTTATTAAGCGGAGGCGTACGACTACAATGAAAAGTCAGAGATGCAACCTTCTGGGTACTGGTGCAAAAATGAAACCCGACTAAAGAAAATCGCGGAAAATCTTTCATTATGAGTTAATGACTTTTAACTCCACATTCACTAGAAGTATTATTAAAAAATAGGCCAAAGCTGTCGGCAATAACGGCGCGCCACTTTAGCCGCGTAGCAAATTTTTCAAAAAAAAACTTGGTGCGTATGTTGCACGAACCCTCGCGTTGGCCGGTCCTGGCACCCTGCCACCTGTTCCTATTCTCAAAAGTAAAGAACAGTTTTAAAAGAAAGTACAAAAATTCAAAGACAATTGCTCATTCAGCTGAGGGCTGTTCGGACGATCAAATTCAAGCCATGTTTAGGAGACTGAAAAAAATGATGGCATAAGTGCATGGACTAGTTCGAAGAGAACAACTTGAATTACACGACTAAAGTAATATTTGTCAATCTGAAACAAACAAGAAATTATACATATATTTACCGTTGCAGTTACGATCGCGGACAATAAATAGCTAGCCTCAACACCATTAGCATGTAAAAGCCTTAGTCGCTAGCGGACAAGTTGTCAGTCTTCAACTAATGGCCTTGTCCTATATATATATATATATATATATATATATATATATATATATATACATGTATATAAACAATTAATGGCTGCCGATTTTAACGCAATTGAAAAGGTGACTGGTCGGGAGGCGCCGCAGCAAAAACGTTAAGCCATTAGAGTTTCGAAAGACTCACCTGTACGGGGAATACTATAGCGGGGAATACTGTAGGTCGACATTGTAGTGAAAGTGTGTCAAGTGCTTAAAGCTATTCTGAATGAAAAAAATTCACCGTACGATACAAAACCTTGAGGATCGATCAATGCGATAGAGTACGAGTGCATTAGGTATTTGCTTTTACGAAAAGTATGAAAAAAAGAAATTAAACAGCTATAAAGTATAGGGCTAGTGGGGTCACTATACAATTTGTGCAAGTTTTTTTCGTCTGTGAGTTTCCCCATCGTATGCTCCATTTACCCCAGCCTAAAAACAAATCGACCTAAATCCAAAATGTCAATTCTTCCATCAATTAATGTTAATGGTAGATGTAGATGTTTTCCTGAAGAGACGTCGTTCGGGTGACTCGCATTGATTAGTGCTAGACGATCATCTACACCTGGTGACACGAAATACAATGCAATAAATAGTGCAATATGGCTGGCTTGTCTGATCTAGTATACCTGCAACACAAAAGTAATACCTAAAAACTTAATTTCAGGTGGCATTGCGGTTGATTTTCAATTGGTTAAGCGACATTCATACATACCGTAGTAGTTGAATGGTAGAGACACGACCGGAAAATCATCGTCAAAATTGTACTTTGTATCTATTTCAAAGCGCTAAAATAAAGCTATACGTGAAAATAATGATTGTGAAGAAAAGTCAGCGTACACTCACTACACCTGTACATGACAAAGCAAGAAGATGTCAAGCTGTAGCAGAAATCTTGTAACTTCCGCAATAGAACACGGGAAATTTGAATCCATACGCCATGCGCGCGCATTTTAGTCAACATCTGCTAAATTAAACGAACAATTGCTCGAAACAGCGTTGTATAAAACGGAGTATTATTGTTGTTGAGTGTTCGAACGGGGCATACTTTGATTTCATTTCCATGTACAACGATGGTTAGGTGAGCCTCCCGTCCTGGGTTTCGTCAATTCCCTACGAACAATAGGAAGAACAACGCCAAAGTCGCAGAATGTATTCAGCGGTATTCACTGCACAATCACGATACGACAGTGGCTGTCGCTGCTGCTGCTGCTGCTGCTGCTGCTGCACAAGAATTATTCTCTAACCTATCATTTGCTAAATTTTTCTATTCTTCATCTGTATTTTAGTGTTTGACTGTTCGTGACACGTATCGCGAGTGTTTGGAGAAGGATCCTAATGAGCGAGCCGAAGAAGACATCGAAACATTATTAGAGTTCATGCAGCATCTTCCAGCTTTCGCCAATATGACGCTGAGCGTTCGGCGCGAACTCTGCGCAGTTATGGTATTTGCTGTCGTTGAGAAAGCGGGAACAGTGGTGATGAATGATGGGGAAGAGTTAGACTCGTGGAGTGTCATCGTAAACGGAATGGTCGAAGTCCAACTGCCCGATGGTAGCGTGCACGATCTATATCTGGGTGATAGGTAAGAAAACTAGTAAAAATATACCCAATATCATAAAAGATCCGGAATAAAATGATAGCTTTCGGTTAGGCAGCGATCAGCTACAGATGCCTGTATTTATAGCTCGCTGATAGTTTTCGATTGGTAACTGGCAATCAAATTCGTGATGTCGTCGCGTGACACCCTCGCTCGCGCATTTGCGTTACTGCTACATTAATAGAGCTATTGCTTGATGTTATACCGGTCAGTTGGGGAAGCCCAGATACAACTCTGTGCATTCAACGAAAAAGGACTCAACTGCAGGACAAATGCACGAAGATAGATAGTGCAGACTTATGCCGTTCATATGTTGACTTACGTGCACGTCTAGACAATTCAAGACTCTGTTTGACGAGGAGGAGAGGGCGAAGCAGTGATCGATGCTCGACAATCGGCTGTTGGCAGCTGTGCGTCGATGCGCGCTGCTGACATTTTAACAGTGCGATGTTATACTTTCGATTTTGGCGACAAAAATTGCAAAGTAATAGAAAAAGAGAAAAGAAAAAAAGAAATCAACTACCACGGATGTTTGAAGATTGAGTGATCTTCATATATCCTTTGTGAGTTCGCAATGTTGTGGTGAATAACATTGATCCATCTACGAATCATATAACGTGCATAAGTTGTGATTAAGGCAAGAAATACAAGTATGTTTCTGTGTGCTATTTAGTCAATGTTTGTACAGCATTAACAAAATCAATCAACTCATTCGACTTATAAGATCCGTCTAGTCATATCGAAATGAGTAGCGTGTTGGGATGTCTATAAAAATAGGACTGCTATATCCTTCGAGCATACGCACGTGCTTAATGTTTTGCTTCAGTTTCGGCATCACTCCTACGATGGAAAAGATGCATCATGTGGGCACTATGCGAACGAAAATGGACGACTGTCAATTCGTCTGTATCGCTCAATCCGAATACTACCGAATTTTGCATCAAGGTGAGGAGAATACACGAAAGCTCGAGGAGAACGGAAGAGTCGTTCTTGTTACGGAACATCGAGTGCTTGATGGAGGCACTCGTCGAGGACACGTAGTGATAAGAGGTTGGTATTCGTCTAATTCTAACTGCTCTCACTTAGAAGTTTCTGACGATTTTTAGACATTTAGGCGAAACAGCATCAATGCCAGTGGCTGCGTACAAAAGACGACGTTTCAGTGAGACACCAACATAAAGTACGGCATAGCCGTATAGGGTGCTAATGTCAAGGGAGCATAGACACGCTTCTAAGAATAGTTATTCAACTGCCGATTTCTTCAACGATGTTTTTTTTGTTTACCCCAAAATAGTCTCCACAGTCCCTTATAACAGATTTGTGTCTCCGATATTCAGGCTGAGTTAGGTCCCGTTACTTGCCCCGGGCAATAATATCGCACGCGTACTGCGTTCAAGAAAGTAGTCTGAATAGGGTAACGTTAGAGTTTTGGCTAACATTCAAAATGGATTTGAGACCCTAAGAAAACATGTATATGAGCTTTGGATTAAATACATGTTATTCCAACGGACGTTTTGATGTAATCTTCAGGTACACCGGAACGATTATTAGCGCAACTGCTCGACGAGAATGTGTTAGACCCGGGTTATATTGAGGATTTCTTACTTACCTATCGAACATTCGTTGACAGTCCGGCCGAAATCACACGACAAATGCTTGACTGGTTTCAAGATGATAAGCTTCGCGATCGGGTCACACGCGTCGTACTACTCTGGGTCAATAATCATTTTACCGATTTTGAGACTGATCCCGATATGATGGAATTTCTTGAGGTAAATATCGCTCTCACACCGCGTAGTACAACAAAAGCTAAGCCATACAAATAGAACATTGCTATGTAGAAACTTTGAAAAATATCTTAATTGTCGTCTTGGTCGCTATAGGATTAACGACATCCGTGAGCGTTATTCGTCTGAATTCACTAGCGGAAGTTTAAGCTGGATGGAGCATCAAAGACGGCCGGATGCTGTCTTGTGTCTTACATGTAAATCTTCAAATACCAACAAATCATGGCACTTAAATATCCAGCTGGCGTCGCGATCTCGCCTTGAGTTATTTTTCGAAGTGAACATCTGGTTTGTTGTAAATATTATACGTCAAAGTGATTCCTTTTTTTTTTATAATAGATGCAACGGTATAGTGGAGGTTACCGTAACGTCGCAGTAATTGGCTTTGCGCTACGGCCGAGATACAAATAAACGACTGAGCGAATAGTTCTTGGCATTCCACGCTGGCGAAGCTAGATCTTGTATAATGCGTTCATCCACGTTTGGGTCATTAAAGGAGTGTGTTTGGACTAAAGGGAAATGGCGAAAGTAGGACATTCCTTGGGTGCCTCGAACCGGTAATGGACAGGTGCCGAAAGCTCCCATTAGAAATGATGACACAGGCGTTCGATTTGTCTCAAAGCCTGCGTATAGCCAGGGGGCCAGTGATGCGTAAATGTATCAGCCAGCGGTAAGATGAATCACCTAGGCCTCAATACTGTGTTCTGTTGTGCTTGCGCCCTATTGCAGGATTTCGAACATATGCTTGAGGAGTGCAAAAAAAATTCGGAAACGCAATTGCTCAACATCGCGTGCGCTGCCAAAGCAAGAACACGTAGCATAACGTTAGCTCGGCCAAACCGTGAAGAACCGCTTCAGTTCCAGATGGTTGGTGGTTACGAAACGGGGTTTGAGGTGTTCATCGCAAAAGTCGAACGAGGTTCAAAGGCTTATGAAGTTGGGCTGAAACGGGGTGACCAAATCCTTGAAGTCAACGGCCAGAGTTTTGCAAATATTTCGCACATGAAAGCCCTTGAACTGTTTAAGAAGAGTACTCACTTGCAGATCTCTGTACGATCCAATCTAATGGGCCTCAAAGAGATGACGACCAATCCGAATCGAGCTCGCATGCGCCAACATCGAAAATCACTTGTCTCTGATCGGGGTCTGTTATCCAATAATAATAATAATAACAACAACAATAACAACAACAACAACAACAATAACAACTCGATCAGCCACAGTACAAGCACTACCAGTAGTAATAACCATAGTAACAGTGGTAGCGCTCAGCACAACAATAATAATAATCCAATGAAGTTAAGTGAGATGTATGATTTGATGTACGATAAATGCGTCGACCCCCAGCATTGTTCAGGGCTTTCAGACAAGTCTGCGGATGGATCGTCATCTAAAAAAATGTTCATGACACTGGGTACGTAGCCAATGGTAATATATATATATATATATATATATCTGCTTACTATTAATAAAGGGTAAAAATTCATCAAAACAATTCTGCTCAGCTTGACCCTTATGCAAATTGTATTCCCCACGTGTATTATTTCTTTATATAAAATGATTTCTGTTCTTTATGTCTGGGTGGTTGACAGGAAAACCGACGAAATTAAAAAAAGCTTTGGCGAAAATCATCTCAAAGAATGCCTCGATTGATGCGTCATCGGCTCACTCTAGTGATGATTCTCTTTTTAATGGGACAGCATCATACAGCAGTGGAGGTGGTCACCGAAGCGGTTCATTATATCACAGCCACTCGAACCCGGACCTCTCTTCGAATGTAATCTATTGTGACTCGGCAAGCAGCGACCAAATTTCTCGGGCGCCAGACTTCCCTGAGCACGTACTCAAGGTTTACCGCGCTGATCAAACCTCTAAGTTTCTTGTCGTCCACGCTGAGACAACCGCTCGAGAAGTTGTTATGCTTACTTTAAGGGAATTCGGTATCACTGATTCTAGTTCACTGTATTCCCTTTGTGAAGTGACTGTGGGCGAAGGAGGGTTAGTGAAACAGAGACGCCTTCCAGAGCAAATGCAAAATCTAGCTGATCGAATGGAACTTCGCAGTCGATACTATCTCAAAAACAATAATAGCCAGGAAGCGCTGGTACCTGATAATCTAGCTGGCGAACTCCTCCGTGAAAGTCAAGTCTCATTCCTACAATTAAATAGCGGGGAGGTCGCAATTCAGCTAACGCTGGAGGATTTCAAGATCTTTCGACAAATCGAACCAACTGAATATGTGGACGATCTATTTGAGGTAACTCTTAGTCGATACGGAGCACCAATGTTATCGAAGTTTGCGGAACTGGTCAATCGTGAAATGTTTTGGGTTGTAACTCAAGTCGTTTCCGAGCCAACAGTTATGCGGCGAATGCGAACAATCAAACAATTTATAAAGCTGGCGCGACACTTCCGTGAATACAAAAACTTCAACTCAATGTTTGCCATCCTTAGTGGCTTAGGTCATGGTGCCGTAGCGCGCCTGAAAGGTACCTGGGACAAGCTGCCTACAAAATATCATAAAATCTTTCAAGACATGCAGGAAATTATGGACCCTTCACGTAACATGTGTCGTTACCGTACTCTAGTGACGCGATTACACCCGCCACTTATCCCATTCTACCCGGTCGTTCGAAAAGATCTCACCTTTATTCACTATGGCAATGACACGCTGGTCGATAATTTGGTTAACTTCGAAAAACTTCGCATGGTCTCGAAGGAAGTGCGCTCTTTAATGAATATGTGTTCCCAGCCTTATGTTTTTCCTTCAAGTAGTTTGCTCTCACAGCAACAACAATCGCTGGAATCGTCGGTTTCTGCGTCTGCGGTCGCCTTGGCCCTTGGCGGAAGTTCCGGAACCTCAGGGGGGCCCAGACACAGGCCTTCGCGCAAGAAGTCGTCTGCCGGTCCGAACCCGAAAAAAATGTTTGAGGAGGCCCAGATGGTTCGTCGGGTAAAGGCGTACTTTTCCGGGTTGAAGGTTATCACCGACGAAGATGAATTGCACAGACTTAGTCTAAATTGTGAGCCTCTGCAGGGTCAACCGGGTGTTAGTACCCCCGTAAGCCAAGGAAGCGTAAACTCACGTGATAGTGGGTCTGGTGGATCCGCCCCAACACATCCTCGTAGACGTCATCCGTCGCCCACACTTAGTACGACGTCATCAACTTCCTTAGCAAGCTCAGCCTCCGAAGGAAAGAAAACTCTTGGGCCGAAGTTTGGTACCGATTCGCCTCAGGCGATGCGAAAACTGCTTGCACTTTCTGAAGGTGTTCCAAAGGTTTGTATTGTATATTTGTATTTACTAATCTCGTATACTTGTGTTGTTGATAATGAATTTCCTGGCTTTTGACGATACTTCATTTGTCCGTTTTCATTGTTCCATTTTTATTGGTTATGTTAGCAAGCGGCTCATTAATTAAATGCTTTTTTTAATTGTTAGGTTCGATCAACTAGTGCACGCAGTACGAGTGTAGCATCAGCTACTTCAATGTCCCACAGTCCGTCAGCAATGCGCAAGGGCAGCGCTGAAAGTAGCCTGCCATTTCAGATTCGTGGGGGTAGTGACTCGCTCGCGCATAAAGGTACCGCCGCCCTTGGACTTGCCATCGGCATGGGTATTGGGATGGGAGTGCATTCTGTACAAAGCGCAGGCCAGCCTCATCACCATCTTCATCATCATCATCATGGAGGAAGCACAAGTAGTAGCGCCGGCGTTGGAAGTGTTCACAATAACCTTCACCTCTCGCCGGAGAGTTCCAGCGTCACTAGTCTACGCAGGGATCACGCTTCTGGTAGGTGCTTCTCGCCAGAATGAAGTTTTCCAAATTGTCAGAGACATACATCCGTCGCATTAGAGTAACTTACTAGACTTGTTCTAGCCATACTAATGCGTTCCTTTGCACTCTTTACACATTATGTGCTTTTGTTTGTCATCTGCATTGTAACTTTGCAGTCTGTTCGATGAGTTCGATTGACAGCGGGGTTGGGCCTAGCTCATGTTCATCAACGAACTCACATCTCGGTAAGTAACAAAGTTCGCCCTTCTAAACTACCGAGCATTTTTAATAACAGCTATTACTTGTGTAGATTAACTAGCACAAGCAACGACCCAACTGTAACTTCTGAACAATGATAAATCATTTGATGATAGAATAAGCACACGCTAAGATGCACATTCTGGTAGGTATTCCAATATCGATGGGCCACGAACGAATGTTATCTGATAGTAACATGGTATCAAAACCCTGGTCAAGGCCTACTGTGACCTAGCCGCTTAATGATAGGTGTTGGTCTTTGTGCTCTGTATTGCCTACCAAAGCTACACATCAACCTTTTCTAACCCCCCCCCCCCCCCAAATATATATTAACGGATTTAACCCATATTTATTAATGGTTTGTTCTTCACGAATCTATCGACTTGAAGCACGATTATTCTAGATAGAGCAAGATGTTTCGAGGCCTGTTTTAATTGCAAGCTTTATTATGGGTGACAGAAAGCCTGGAATGTAAATCATAGACAAAAATGGGGTTATTTGGATCAATAATCATGTTAATAGTCGCATAAATGTTGTGACAAACTTTTCTCGTTTTGATGTGATTCTTCTACTGCTCGTCATAATTAGGTGACGATGAGGAAAGACGAAATCACGACGATAAACTAACAAACACTGTTATTATTTGGTGTATTATCGTTGTTACTGTTCTTTTTTTTTGTGCCGTTTTCTACTATACGCTCGGGTGTTTGTGACGACGTTTTGGCGTTTGTGGTCGTTCGCACGTCTGTTCGTTCTTTCGTCGTTGTCCCCTGTCTGTCCGTTCATCCGTCTGCCGGTTGTTGTTGTTGTTGTTGTTGTTGTTACTGTTGTACCGCCCCGGGGGTCCACGCTTCTCACTATGGCGTTCTTGTCTCTTCAAACGACGATATCTCTTCGTTGTCTGTCTTTTTGTTTGGGATCTGACCACTTTTTGTCGACCCAACTCAAATGCAACCCGTTTCTTTATGTGCTTTCTGTTCTCCGTTGCCGCTATTGATACTCTTGTTCCTATTGAAACTCGTCTTGATTTTGTTAATATATAAATTACTTTTTCTCATATCTTGTTGCCGCTGCTACTACTGTGTCCTGCGTACCAATGTGGTTTCTGTTCAAACATGATCTCAACATAATCTCTGGGCCAAAACAGATACGTTGGGCACGGATTGTATTCAACAACAACAGCAACAACAACATGCCGCAACAATCTCTGCCACTAGTGCAACAGTATTCAGCCATCATCTGGCGGGTGGTAAAGGAAGCAGCGGTCTATCTGAGAGTATGGTTCGTCAGCATTCACCGTTACATCATCTCCCACATCATCATGGAGATGGCTTGAGCGGGTATCAAACGCTGGGTCACCACCACAATCCGGCACGTTTCTTTGGGGTGACAGCTGGTGGAGGTTGTATGAGCGACGGTTTGACTAGTACCAGCGGAGGCTACCGAGTTCCCCCGTTCCCGCACGCGATCGCCGTTCTACCACCCCTCCCCCCACCGCATCATACGAGCTTAGTTTCTGTCAGGCAGCAGCAGCAGCAGCAGCAGCACCAGCAGCAAACTTTGAAAGGCGGCAGTGCCAGCAATCGCCACCAGCTACAACAGAAGCATGTGACGTCGGGGGTGAATACAACAGGTAACCCCCAACCTAACCCTCACTGATCTTAACTCGAAAACAACGAAAGCCGCACCGACAGGAAAAAACATAGACACAACGAATAACAACAGTTTTTTTTCGAACGATTATGTAAAGCAGCTCATTACCACATCCGTATTGACGGCCGTCGCTTGGCGCGGTCTCTAAAAAATGCGTAGCATATATATATATATATACACATTACGTTATTACAGGACACACACTATTATCATCATTTTAATTATTATCGTTATCCGATTCTAAGAGAAGACGATAGTGTTCTCTTCATATCATAGATGGAATCATAGAATTAACAATATCAGAAAAGTAAAAGACTGCTTCACTTTAATAAGAATAGTTACGAATAAAAACAGTTTGTGTCGTCTCACACTGGTGATGGGCTTGGTGATGGTGTATATTTATTTGTCTCATTCACAGTAAACCAGCATGAATCAATGGCTGCTTTTGCTGCTGTTCATGGCTTTGCCCTTGCATCGCTTTAATAATAATAACAGCACCTAAACAAACAAGCGAACAGACATCCATAGTTATGTTTTTATTAGCAAATTAATGATAATTTCTACAAATAGCAACTATACCTAGTCACTCGTACTTCCAAAGTGTCAGTCTTTCGAAGATGAATTTTTGACATTAGCATGTTGAATCAAGTGTATAGCACATGGTGCGTTTCATTGGACCTGAAGGTAAGTAGAATGGAAAACTTCTGACAGACGAACCAATAGCATTAGAACAATGAGGATTACCCTCATATGGCTAGCTCACCGGACTAGATTTAAGCATTATCGGTAAAGTGGGTAATAGGATAATGCAGTGCACGGGTTTTTACGTCCCATGAAACAACGGCTGTTTCTCTATAATATTTCGTCCGATTTCGAACCGTTTCGATAGCAAGAAGGTTCTATTACTAGACAAAGCTGTAGTCCGAATCTTATCGAAGCGCTGATACATGGCCTAGGCCTTACCTCACAATCTATCGTGTTATTTAATCGTTGTCGTTTTGAAGAAAATAGTGCAGAAGAAGAATGGGAATATATGTTCAGCAGTGGCCACTTAGGCTATCAATTAGGGTAAGGTAGTTCCTGTAGGACAGCTTGTATTCGTTTCCACATTTGATCAGTATATTGGTAGTATAAATTATGCTTCGCGTTTGAAAGACACCAAACTTATAGCGGCGTGTGTAGGCACATGCTTGCTAATTAGAGTCCACTCTTATTGTGTGAGTATGACGTCTCTTTCGTGTTTTCTATAGGCAATCGTGGTCGTAGCGCGAAGCCATTCGCGCCTCCGCTACCTCCATCTGATCGGATCGGGCGCCCGTTAGTGCAGATCAACAACGCCAGCTTACCTCGATCCCGAAGCCACGAAGGGGTTGCCGTACCTCAAACGATACCTGGTCAGAGTTCTCACACCGGACAGACAGGCACTGCCTACTACCAGCTAAGCAATGAAGGTACCCTCCTCGCTATAGCCTTTAATTCTAACCTAAAATTATATTATTGTAACAGGAGAGTGTTAATATCTAGTTGTCGAAAAAAGTATCGACGACTTTTAATCCAAAACTGACGTAAATATTTTTATATGTCAAAGCAATACTACTAAAATATTAGGTAAGCGAATTCGGTGCACTTTCTGAACTGACTAATTTTTTGAGCTACATGCCGCCAGTAGACGAAATTTGGATAGTAAACATTCTGATTTTCTAGAGACTTGCCAGTGACGACTGATTGAGTTTACTCAAGAAGAAATGAGCTCAGAAGGAAAAATATCGTGTCATGATTTCGTTTCTCGAAGGCTACAGCGCTACACTAGGCAAAGAGGTCTTAAACAAGGGCACATGCATGGTGGAAACGACCGCAGTATCGGGGACCAGCAAAGACATGACCAGACATTGAGACCCGAAGGTCAACAACGCATTGGCGCAATCGGGGTGACTATTCATAACTTAGAGTTCAAGGGCTTTGTCGATTAAGGCTGGTATTTGACATGTAACGTATTACAGAATTAAAACCCAAATACTTACTTAACATACGGAAACTGAATAGAAATAAATTTTCCATGAATTGCGCCAAATGTGTATCGTGTATTTCACGTGCAAATTGCGGAACTTAAGTCAGCTAGACTGGAACATAAAGCCGCTAGAGACAAGGCATGGTGCCAGCCAAGGAGGGACCAGGAGAGAAGGTGGCGTCGCCCTAGAGAGAAATCGGCAACAGTGTCGAGTAGGTGCAGACGTAAGGTAATAATAGGACTTGCAATCATCATCAGGTGCGTCTACTACTCATCGAAAATGAAGCAATAAATGTAGCCTGCCATCTTTCCTCTTTTTAAGAGACTCATTGATCGTTGGCACGGCAATCGAAGGCACGCACTGTGGTTACTTCCAGACGTCATCGTCATGCTTTACTTACTTTCTGGTAAACAAACGAATATCCAACATCAACTTCGACTTTCTTATTCTCCCGATCCGAGTCCGGGTAGTTACGGGGCTTTCCATGCCCTAAGAAAGGCCACTGGTGAGAAAGCATACTCCACGTTCCATCTCTTCGAGAGGTCATAGATAGGGAAATATTATATGGGAGCGCGAATGGGAATTAGTTCAACTGTCCAGACGCTGTCCGAGAGCTGGGATAAGTACGTGAAAAAAATAAAGAAGGGTATTTTAAACAGATATTAAGAAATAGGCTCAGCTAGTTCAAAGGACATGAAAATTTCAAAGTTCGCATAATGTACTTGTACCTCCCTAACAAATGTGTGCCACTTCAATCGATGACCTTCTATAATTTTTCTTGTAGAACTTCTGTAGTTTTTGGGCGAAAAATTATTTGTTATAGGCGATCTTTGCATCTCTAAACTAGTTCGATTGTTCTACCAGGCAGCAACGGCAGCGGCGGCTTACAATGCACGATTCCTCTCCAATCTCATCCTCATCGTCAATACACGCTGATTAGGAAGTTGTGCTTTGCTTCGCCGCGTTAACGATGACCTTTTTGTACATCAGTATCGTGTGTGATCCACTTATCATCACCCGTGATTAATTGCTTTAGAAATAACTATTTCGTTATTTCGTAGACGAAGATTTAATGGAATAAATCATTGTACGTCAATCCGTGTGGCATTCAAGCATCGGACTTTTTTTATGTTTTGGTGGCGGATGTTTAGTTTCTTGGCTACTCTCGTGTTGATCTTGTTGAACTTCCGCAATAATTTCATCAACTTTTCCGCAGTTAGTTGACCGCTATGAAAAGCATCTTTCTACATGGAACTGTTCAGAACGAAAGCGCCAGAATAATTTTTCAGGGCTATGCTTCCGGATAATGCATCTTGATCGTAAATAGTACAATTTATGGGCCTGGGAAGCTAACGTGCCTATATCGTAATAAAACTTTGGTAGGATCGTAATCAGAGTTTGATAGAAATCCTACTCATTTTCAAGGCGATCTCTCATGAAGAAGGGCATTGGAACGCACTGTTACTGCCAAATCTTAGCTTTCAAAACGCGTAATTTATTAATTATAATAGTAAAATCATTGACCCGACACGGTCCATATTGACTGCGACACCTGGCTTTAAAGCTATCTAGCTAGAGAAATACGGTCGATACGTTATCTTGTATTGAATAGGTGCCTCTTATATACACATGGGGGATGCCGCCTAGTTCGTGACGCCGTCAATACACACCCGTGTATGATTATAATGTTATAGCAGTATAGGGATGGTGCTAGCGTGCCTTTCTTGCAAACACGTTGAGCAGTTGGATTAAACCGCCGAACGTCTGACTGCACGATATTATTTTGTTTTGCGATGTATTTACTTACAGAAGAAGATACTCAGGTTTCCGCTGTTTGACGAGATCAACTCACTGCCGGCCAATGGATGGTGTCAACAGAAAAACGAAGCTAACTTCGTACTGGAATGGCTTTTTGCACAAGCATTCGCAAATCTCCATCGGCTGCAGAAAATACGCGTGGCGCCGCACATATCAATTGCATAAACTATATATATATATATATATAATGATTACTACAGATGTAATAGGGATCGCGAACACAAAAATCGACCGATCACTAATGTATAAATACAACCACTGACTAAATAATGAACTAACCAAGGATCAGTAGCCATTTTGATTCACTATCAATACCCACGCCTGTCGTCGTCAAATGCCGAAAAAGGTTCTGACGAATCATACGCTAATAACGATTAAATATCGCAATTAGGAAAACACAGTACGAATTCGCTCGCACAGACAGGCGGTGACTGAGTGTACTGCGGGACCAATCGAAAAAAGTATCGGATAGAGGTAGAAGCACAGTGGATTACTACATAGGAAAAGATTATTTAAGCGAATATGAGACACATTTGCCTTGCAACAAACCTCCTCCAAGTCGGTTATCGTTACTGCTGTTGCAAATCCTAACGTTCTTTCGTGGACCCTTTCCGTATCAGCTGACTAATCCAGACCCAATTGCTTTGAACAACAAGGACGTCTACAAGAGCAGTACCTCTGCAGTAATTTTCAGCCATCTGCTTTAAGTCAATGAAGTTTACTATCTGCCGTTTTTCAATCCAGAGACGTCGTAGTTTTAGCAAGCCACGAGATCAAAGACACTCCAAATACTCTCAACTCATCGAACAACGCGTGACACAGTGACAACTAAAGTACTTTACAATAGTAACAACACGGATAGACAAAAGAAAAGCTGCAACGCGGGCGGATTTCCTTCGTTCAGGGATGTAGTGTGCAGAACCGCTCAGACGTTCCTGTATCTTCCAGTTGGTGTCACAAAGATGAAACTATTGCTACAACTAACCAGCCAGACGTACATCATATCCCTGCAAAATGAATATATAATTTATATATACATACATATATATATATATACGACGCACGTGTGTAAAAAATACAGAGCCCACCTATTATAATAATGTTAAATGTTGACAGCATATACAAGTAATGCACACTTCCTCATTTACGTATAATAACAATAATGAGGTTGATTGACGATGTAAAAATCAAAGAAGGGAAAGGAGGTAAGCTGTCGCTACTGTCGCCTCCCTATTCAATTATGAAATGAAGAGCGACGACAATGGTGATGATAATTATTACGATGATTGTGGTGTTGACAGAACGAATTGGCATTATTTGCAAAAGAAACAGGATGATCAATGAACGGCTTCAGAAGCATTCAGCGTCCTAGTGATAATAATCTTGAATACCATACGCGCACTAGCTGAGACATTGGAACTTATAT